ACCCCAACCCGCAGCCCCTGCCTGGCCCAGGCCTGCAACACCCTACCCCCCTCGCCTAGTGCTGCATCCCCAACCTGGCCCACACCAACAGCCTGACCCAGGCTTAACAACCCCCCACCACCCGCCCCCCGCAACCAACACCATCCACCTGACCCTGGCCCACACCCCATCCCCCCGCCACGCCTACCTCTGCAGGAGGCCACTCTCACCAGGCCGCGTCCTGCGGGAGGCCCAGGAGGCCTGGCCGCTGGCTCTTACTGCCCCAATGCCAAGACCTCTGGCCAACTGGGCGCAGGGTGAGGGTTGTGAAAATCCCAGGTGTTCCCTCGGCTCTAAGAGCAGGCATAGGTCCTGGGCAGCAGGCCAGCCGAAGAACAGGAGATGCAGGTACATTTTGTCCTGGGTGCCTCCTGACCAGGGCTGCCCCTCAGACGGTCCTACGGAAAAAGCTGACACCTTCTCCCCAGCCACAGGGAGCTGCCCTCTTCCTCCCTCGGGGCTCACCCGGGGCCCCACTCATCAGTGGCCATCACCCCCTCTAGTATCTGAGGAATCTTGGGCCATGCCTTGGGCTGGGGAAGAACTCTTGCTGCTTCTTCCTCCCTCACCCTGTGTTTCCAGTGGACCGCTGAGTTGTGTTGTTTTCATCCCCAAGCTCTCCTTGGCCGTCGGCTTCTGCACCCTCACAGCAGCCCTTTCCTGGATCTTGCATAGCTGCCAGACACTTCACCTGTGATCTTCCAGTTACCCCTAGAAACCCACAGGATGAGGTGGGGTACAGTGGCTCATGCCTGTAATCCCAGCACTTTGGGAGGCTGAGGCAGGTGGATCACCTGAGGTCAGGAATTCGAGATCACCTTGGCCAACATAGTGCAACCTCGTATCTACTAAAAACACAAAAATTAGCCGGGTGTGGTGGTGTGTGTAGTCCCAGCTACTCAGGAGGCTGAGGCAGAATCACCTGAACCCCCTGAACCCTGGAGGTGGAGGTTGCAGTGAGCCGAGATTGCACCACTGCACTCCTGGGCGATAGAGTGAGACTTGGTCTCAAAAAAAAAAAAAGAAACCCACAGGACAGGGACTATGATCCCTGCTTTGCCACTAACAGAGCCAAGCATCCAACACGCAGGCTACCTTTGTCTTTTCAGGTTCACCTTCTCACCCTGAATGCCATTGTCCTTTGTCCCCTTCCCACCTTGCTGTCCACCCAGCAGGCACGGGTCCTGTGCAGCAGGCCAACCCGAGATGCGCTTGCGTCTCCTGTTTTTGGGCTGGCCTGCTGCACCAGACCTGACCTGTGCCTGATCTTAATGCCGCAGGAACACCCAGGATTTTCACAGCCCCCACCCAGTGTCCATTTGGCCAGAGGTCTTGGCAATGGGGAGGCACCAAGTGCAAGGAACTGGCGCTCCATCCTGTTTGAGGCTTACACCCCCTCACCTGTTGGCATGTGTTGAAAGAAGGCGTTTCCTGGTTCCTTAGCAGAGTCCAGGGCTGTCTCCAGTGTGGTGTCCTGGAAAGAGCTGCCCAAGGCATATTAGGAGAAGGAGAGCGGCCGTGGGCTGCGTTCTGTGCTGGGGATTTTTCTTTTTTTTTTTTTGAGACAGAGTCTCACTCTGTCGCTCAGGCTGGAGTGCAGTGGCACGATCTCAGCTCACTGCAAGCTCCACGTTCACGCCATTCTCCTGCCTCAGCCTCCTGAGTAGCTAGGACTACAGGTGCCCACCACAACAACCGACTAATTGTATTTTTAGTAGAGACAGTGTTTCACTGTGTTAACCAGGATGATCTCGATCTCCTGACCTCGTAATCCGCCCGCTTCAGCCTCCCAAAATGCTGGGATTACAGGCGTGAGCCACCGAGCCCGGCCTGGGGATTTTCTTTAGGACATGTTCAAACACATGTGAAAGCAGAGAGAAAGGTACCAAGGCTACCCATCTATCGCTGTGGCTGAGAGCTACACCTGGAGCCACTGAGGACTGGGCAGGGAGCCCTCAGAGGGCCTCTTGGGGTCACACTGTATCCACCGATGGGGCCACATCCCTTCCCCCACTCTCCCCAGTTTGATACCTGTGTGAATAGATACCCCTTTTTGCCTTCTTGCTCTAGGTGCTAACTTTGAGTACATCATCGCAGAAAAAAGAGGGAAGAATAACACCGTGGGGTTGATCCAACTGAACCGCCCCAAGGCCCTCAATGCCCTTTGCGATGGCCTGATTGAGGAGCTCAACCAGGCACTGAAGACCTTCGAGGAGGACACGGCCGTGGGGGCCATTGTCCTCACCGGCGGGGATAAGGCCTTTGCAGGTGTGCGCAGCAGCGGAGGCCTTTGTGTCTGGGCAGATGTGGGAGGCACGTGTGGCCTTGGGAGAAGCCTCCAGACTGACTTGTACCCCTGTGATGGCGGAGGCACGCGCGTGAGGACTTCCTCACATATCCAGTGAAGACGGGCATGGGAACAGCTTGCATGAGCAGCTTTGTGTATGCTGGAGAACCGCATGTGCTCCCCCAGCAAAATAGCTTCTTCAAAGAGATTCAGGTCCTTGGCAGTCAGGCTTTACACAAAGCCTGTCAAGGGCTTACGCCCTGATGAATATGCCCCGCCTCTGTGGGTGCCTCCCTCGCACCTGCCACCTGCCCCAGAACCCCTCTTCATGACCTCTGTTATAGCTGGCATAACAGCATTCCTACAGCTGTCCGGTGGCCTGGTGTCACCCGTGCCCGGCAACCCCAGTGCCCGTGTCTGGTGTGCTCCGAAGCTCCCTGTTGGTCTGGGGGATACAGGACGGGTGGGCTCTCTGCTGCCTGGTGACTGGAACCTCCTTTCCACTCCTGCTAGCTGGAGCTGATATCAAGGAAATGCAGAACCTGAGTTTCCAGGACTGTTACTCCAACAAGTTCCTGAAGCACTGGGACCGCCTCACCCAGATCAAGAAGCCAGTCATCGCTGCTGTCAATGGCTATGCCGTGAGTATTGCTGCCGAGGGTCTCCTCTTGTGGCTGAAGGAACTGTGCTGTGCGTACACAGCGTAACAGATTTTTATTTTGAAGAGGCCTTTAGTTCCCAGGCCAGCAGCCTCCTTTCCTGCCTCATGGTGCTAAAGAGCCAGGAACCGTGCAGAGAGGACACCTCCTGGCATCTGTTTTTTTCATGGCTGTTCACCTGACAGCTTCTCCCCAGCAAGCTTCTCTCCCAGGGCAGTGGAAGAGAGGTGCTGGCTTTGGCTACGTCTATAAACTGGCTTCTTTTGCTGCCCTTGAAAACTGTGTCCTGGGACTGTTTGAAGTGCTGAGGCTGATCTTGACTTACAGGGAAGCAGTGTGATCATTTCATGGCGCTCCCTTCCGTGGAAGCCAGGGGTCTGCGGGTGGAGTTTTCTCGGCACAGCCACACCCCCCCGTCTCTGTGGCTGCGTCTCGGCCACAGCAGCAGAGGTTTTTTTTTTTTTTGAGACGGAGTCTCGCTCTGTCGCCCGGGCTGGAGTGTGGTGGTGCGATCTCGGCTCGCTGCAAGCTCCGCCTCCTGGGTTCCCGCTGTTCTCCTGCCTCAGCCTCCCGAATAGCTGGGACTACAGGGGCCGCCACGTCACCCGGTTAATTTTTTGTACTTTTAGTGGAGACGGGGTTTCACCGTGTTAGCCAGGATGGCCTCGATCTCCTGACCTTGTGATCCGCCCGCCTTGGCCTCCCACAGTGCTGGGATTACAGGCGTGAGCCCCGCGCCCGGCACCCAGCAGCGGAGCTGAGTGGTGACAGCAGAGCCTGTAAGACCTTCATGGCCCTTTACGGAATGTTTGCCGGCCGCTGGTAAACAGCATCAGCCGTCTGTGGTTAACTTATCACAACGATTATCTAGTTTGGTGCCACTATGTTAGTCTTTGCCGTACGCCTGACACTGTTTCGTTTCGATGGAAAATCTGAGTGAGCAGAGCGATTTCTGACTGGGTTCCCCTAGTGAGACTCTCCCGATGCTGAATGTTTTCCAGTTTGGCGGGGGCTGTGAGCTTGCCATGATGTGTGATATCATCTATGCCGGCGAGAAGGCCCAGTTTGCACAGCCGGAGATCTTACTAGGAACCATCCCAGGTAAAGGGTAACACTGTCTCTGACAGGCATAGATGCCTTAGGTAATTCCTCAAAATTGACCTGTGTCTCAGGGCCCACAGCTCGTATCTGACCAGAGGCCCTGGATGGACAGCCCCGTGTCTGGTCAGTGGTCTGTCTGTGGACGGCCACAGAGGCTGGAGTGGTTGTGACAGAGCTTGGCGTGGCCTCAGAGTCCCGGGACCGTGTCTGGCTCCTGTGACTGTGCCCGGGGTCGCACATCTGATGATGTTGGGAGAGGCAGGTCGTGGGTAACACTGGCTTCTAACCATGGCAGTTCTTGCTTGCGATTCGTGTCCAGAGAGAGAACATGGTGACCCTGGGTGGCACTGGGAGCTCTGCCCACTGCCATCTCACTGGCCTGGAGGTCACGTGGCCTGAGTTCAGAGCGGGGAGTCAGACCCCCCACCATGCCCATGGGAAGGGCCTGGGCTCTTGGCAAAGAGCAACACCCTCTACCCCCAGGGTCTTCCTGGTGGGCCTGGTAGAAGGGTGGG